ACCAAAATCCAAGACGTTCGAGTAAAGTGAGACCAGAGTGCAAATCATTCAGAAGATCGCCTAAAGTTTCGTCAAATAAGCCTATAAAACAAATTATTTAACATAATTCTTAAGTATATATATCAAGTATAAAAATATTTTAATACTTATTTCTTTGCCCAACGAATGTTTTAATGTCTAAACTGCTGTATCCGCAATCTTCACAATGGAGCCAATCAGTTTACTTTGTCTTGATTTATCACAACTGACGGATGACATTCTTCTATTACACCTATGACATCAAAATAATTCAAATAATTTATATAATTTAAGTAACATATTATAAGTAACATGTTATAAGTAACATATTATAAGTAACATATTATAAGTAACATATTATAAGTAACATATTATAAGTAACATATTATAAGCATTAATAAAAATTCAAACAACAATTTGAACTAATAAAACAATATATTTATTTAATAATTAGATGAATATATTATAAGTATCCAAATCATAACCCTTGATTGAATGCAGCATGTATCTTCTCTAGGAACACCATTGAGTTAATGTTTCTGACAGCAAGATAAGTCCAATGTAGGCACGTGTGTAAGCATCCTGAAGCGATCATTGCTTACCCTGTGAACAAAAGCATTTAATTAGTAATAATTCAGTCTACTATAATACATTATAAAAATGTAATTCACCAAGTGTTTTCTTCTGAGCCGTTTCACTAAGTCTTCCTAAGTAAACTGCAACAAGTGGTTTTTATTGTAACTGATCAAACTACGTTATTAAAATGTTAGTATTGTTAATGAGTTAGTAAGACTACTGGTAAGAACATGCATAAGACTAAACACAGTTACAAAAAGAACCACTTGTGCAAATTTATAAGAATTAATGTTCCAAAACCCCAGCAGTTGATTGTCGACTGATCCTTCATGAGCACTTACAGTCTGATTAGAGTCGATTGATTCAGAAGTGGATAATTGAATCTGAAATAAAAAAAAAAAGATTAGAACACGTCTTTTAAAATGTTTGATAAAGGATACAGACTGCCTGATAGATACTTGATAAGTTCTTACTGTTTGATGGATTATAAGCGATGAGGGCTGTTGATTCAGAAGTGGGTTATTGAATCTGAAATAAAAAAAAACAAAAGATTAGAACACATCTTTTGAAATGTTTGATAAAGGATACAGACTGCCTGATAGATACTTGATAAGTTCTTACTATTTGATGGATTAAAGGCGATGAGGGCTGTTGATTCAGAAGTGGATAATTAAATCTGAAATAAAAAAAAACAAAAGATTAGAACACGTCTTTTAAAATGTTTGATAAAGGATACAGACTGCCTGATAGATACTTGATAAGTTCTTACTGTTTGATGGATTATAAGCAATGAGGGCTGTTGATTCAGAAGTGGGTTATTGAATCTGAAATAAAAAAATAACAAAAGATTAGAACACGTCTTTTAAAATGTTTGATAAAGGATACAGACTGCCTGATAGATGCTTAAGTTCTTACTGTTTGATGGATTAAAGGCGATGAGGGCTGTTGATTCAGAAGTGGATAATTGAATCAAATAAAAAAAAAAAAGATTAGAACACGTCTTTTAAAATGTTTGATAAAGGATACAGACTGCCTGATAGATACTTGATAAGTTCTTACTGTTTGATGGATTAAAGGCGATGAGGGCTGTTGATTCAGAAGTGGATAATTAAATCTGAAATAAAAAAAAAAAAAGATTAGAACACGTCTTTTAAAATGTTTGATAAAGGATACAGACTGCCTGATAGATACTTGATAAGTTCTTACTGTTTGATGGATTATAAGCAATGAGGGCTGTTGATTCAGAAGTGGGTTATTGAATCTGACATAAAAAAATAACAAAAGATTAGAACACGTCTTTTAAAATGTTTGATAAAGGATACAGACTGCCTGATAGATACTTGATAAGTTCTTACTGTTTGATGGATTATAAGCGATGAGGGCTGTTGATGCAGAAGTGGGTTATTGAATCTGAAATAAAAAAAAAGAAAAAAAGATTAGAACACATCTTTTAAAATGTTTGATAAAGGATACAGACTGCCTGATAGATACTTAAGTTCTTACTGTTTGATGGATTAAAGGCGATGAGGGCTGTTGATTCAGAAGTGGATAATTGAATCTGAAATAAAAAAAAAAAAGATTAGAACACATCTTTTAAAATGTTTGATAAAGGATACAGACTGCCTGATAGATACTTGATAAGTTCTTACTGTTTGATGGATTATAAGCGATGAGGGCTGTTGATGCAGAAGTGGATAATTGAATCTGAAATAAAAAAAAACAAAAGATTAGAACACGTCTTTTAAAATGTTTGATAAAGGATACAGACTGCCTGATAGATACTTGATAAGTTCTTACTTGATGGATTAAAGGCGATGAGGGCTGTTGATTCAGAAGTGGATAATTGAATCTGAAATAAAAAAAACAAAAGATTAAAACACGTCTTTTAAAATGTTTGATAAAGGATGCAGACTGCCTGATAGATACTTGATAAATTCTTACTGTTTGATGGATTATAAGCGATGAAAGCTGTTGATGCAGAAGTGGGTTATTGAATCTGAAATAAAAAAATAACAAAAGATTAGAACACGTCTTTTAAAATGTTTGATAAAGGATACAGACTGCCTGATAGATACTTAATAAGTTCTTACTGTTTGATGGATTAAAGGCGATGAGGGCTGTTGATTCAGAAGTGGATAATTGAATCTGAAATAAAAAAAAAACAAAAGATTAGAACATCTTTTAAAATGTTTGATAAAGGATACAGACTGCCTGATAGATACTTGATAAGAGCTTACTGTTTGATGGACTAGAGTCGGTTGGGTCGAATGGGGCAGATGATTCAGTATTGGAGAATTTAATCTGAAATAAAAAAAACAAAAGATTAGAATACATCTCTTAAAATGTTTGAGAAAGGATACCTACAGCCTGATAGATACTTGATAAGAGCTTACTGTTTGATTGACTAGAGTCGGTTGGGTCGAATGGGGCAGTTGATTCAGTAGTGGAGAATTTAATCTGGAATAAAAAAAAAAGATTAGATTACATCTCTTAAAATGTTTTAGAAAGGATACATACAGCCTGATAGATACTTGATAAGAGCTTACTGTTTGATTGACTAGAGTCGGTTGGGTCGAATGAGGCAGTTGATTCAGTAGTGGAGAATTTAATCTGAAACAAAAAAAAAAAACAAGAGATTAGAATACATCTTTTAAAATGTTTGATAAATAACACATACTGCTGAAGTAGGTAAAGTTATGTGTAGGTTAAAATTAAATATAGAAAACCCAGATTCAAACTACATATTTCATGGATTGATAACATTTAGTGCTCACACTTTGTCCTTAATTGATTTTTGTATCGTGGCCTCCAAGAACGCCCTAAAAGTGATGAAACAAAGTTAATGCATCAATGTAACAACTTATGCATATCAGAATATGAATAAATTGGCGCAATGCTATATGGATTGCAAACAGCAGCAGTTGTTCATAATTGATAATAGTTTAATAATTACATAAGTAATACATAATGTCGAATGATTCAGATTATTACATTCTTGTTTAATAGTGGATTATTGTGTTAGTGTGTCAGTCAAAACTAGAACTACGAATGATACCTACATAACTTACTACTACCCCAAACTATTATATTAGCATGCAAGTAATTATCTGAATCATGACATTACATATATGCTAACAAAGTAGTACTTAAAAAAAAAATGATACGATCGCGCCAAACTACGTATGCCGTTCACAATCTACTGTCAATGGCACAAATTGTTAAAAGAAATTGCACAAAATTTAAATACAATGGAAGCGAACGCGAATGAATGAATGAGAACCCGACACAATGATTTGTTTAATTTTGCTCGTTTTCATAACACACTTATTATTATTCCTATTATTCTATTTACAAAATAGAAACTTTTTTGTCAGCATCGCCGATACGGACTCAAATATTACCAAAATTAATTCTGGAGTGCCTCAAGGGAGTGTCCTCGCCCCAACACTATTTTTAATTTTTACAGCTGATTTTCCAACTTCAACTGACACGAGTTTAGCCACATTTGCTGATGATACGTGCATCATCGCCACAAACAAAGATCCGACTGCAGCTTCCAACAGCCTTCAGCACCATCTCAGCTTAGCTGAGAAATGGTTTTCGTTGTGGAGGATAGAAGTAAATAACACAAAATCAATCCATATAACTTTCACGCTTCGCACCCAAACTTGCCCAGCAGTTGTACTTAACGATGAAATTATTCCGTCCAAAGAATCAATAAAGTATCTCGGCATTCACTTAGATAGGAAACTCAACTGGAAAGTACACATAAAGAACAAAAAACAACAAATAGATCTAATCTTCAAAAATTATTATTGGCTCTTAAACAGAAAATCAGAATTATCAACTTACAACAAATTACTTATATATAAGGCTGTGATCAAACCCGTGTGGACCTACGGATTACAAATTTGGGGTACTGCTAAAAAGAGCAATTTAAACATAATACAACGAGCACAAAACAATTTCCTGCGGCAAATATTAAACGCTCCTCACTACACGCCAACATGGATTCTCCACAAAGACACGGGTATACCTACAATTCAAGAACATATATCAATGTTTGCCTGTAATTATAAGAATAGAATTGACGCACATCCAAACCAACTAGCATGCAACTTATACCAGGAAGGCCAGCCGACCAGGCTCAAAAGGAAAATACCTCGAGATTTATTATAGTTTATTTTTATATATATATATTTTTTTCTCTCTCTATATTTGTCTTTAGTTTTTTCTTTTTATATATAAACTATAGTAGATACACCACTGGGCGTATGTACTAATTTGTAAACAACCAATTGTAAACACTTGTCAGCATTCTCTGCTAAATATAATTATTTTTATAGATTGCAGAATGAAAATAAAATAAAAAAAAAAAAACTTATTATTATTGGGTACTTCCCTAGGTCCTCTCCCTTCGTCCTGGAGGTCCTCTTGCGTAACTGCCCATCACGCAAATGAACAACTTGACAATCGCGTGGACCAATCAAGTCGCCGGCGGAGCCATTGGACACGGCTCAAAAATGACATCCTGCGCAAAAAAATTCGAATTGGTCCGATTAGACAATTATCAATAAAATTAAAATTAATTTAAATTATATTATTTGATTTTTAATTAAAATTAAAAATATATAAAAATAAAAATAAACAAATAGATAAATGAATAAAAAAATAAATAATTTATATGAAAAATCGCAAAATTGAAAAGAACAAACTAAGCTAGTTGGTATTGGTATTTTGTTTTGAGGCAAGTTACATGAACTTCCACAAATGTATAAATAATTGATTTAATAAAAAATAAATTAACTTATGAGTGGTTAAAAGTATTCCGAGTGGATTTATTACACATAGCAAACATGTTAACTCGGAGTATTTTCTAAAAACAAATTTTCAAAAATCAACAATTTTTATAATTGAACCTATTTCTGTAGGAATTTAATGATTTAGTGTGTTCATCGAGACCAAGTACTCTATCGTTATACCAAGTAAATTGTCTAATTTTAATTTTAACAAACGTCAAACAACTACTCATTTTCTCAAACTTTGATGAATTTTTAAAATTAAACTACTTGTCGTAAGGCCGAAATATTTCAGTAAGTTCTATAAGGCCATGATATATATCATCAAAAAAAGTTCCATAAAAATCGGATTAAATTTTTTTCAACAGTTAATTACAAGGAAATGGTTCGGTAGATTTTTCCCTAAAACTAATCAGTGTCATTCCCAACTAATATCTTTCGAACAGTTTTTGATTTTTAACTTCCCGAAGGAGAAGTTTATGTTTTCATCAAAAAATCCGATTCGCTAATTTTATGTTTTCTCGACGTTTCAAGCCATTCTGAATGGAATGAGACCAAATTTGGAAAAAGTATGTGTGTGTGTGAGTATGTGTGTATGTGTGCATGTGTGTGTGAACAGATTTTTTGCCGTAAATCGACGTTTTCTCAAAAACAGATATGCAAAATAATCGTAGAGGAACTACAGAAAGTTTATAATTATTAAATGGGTAAGTAAAAAAATGTAAAATGCAAAAAATATCATTTGTATGCATAAATAAATGAATGATTTAAACTCATGAATAAGTAAGTAATAATAAAAAACATTGAAGTATTTGTAAGCGGTATTTTAAGACACGTTACATGATGTTTGCGATATAGTGTAAATAATTGACTTAATAAATTAATTTGAGTGACTTATAAGTATTATTGTAATAATGGAAAGTTAAAATATATAAAAAAAAATTAAATAAAATGAAAAAAATATGAATAAATTCTTAATGACGATATCAAAATATTAAGATGAATAAATAAGCAAATGATTAAATAAATTGCATACCTTGAAGTCTCTACGCGTATTCAGTTTAATAAATTCAGTTTACAGAAAAGTCTTTTTGATTCCACAGCAGGTATCGTCTCTTATGGGTTGCCATCCTTAATTGTGGTTCATCAGCAACCTGTATCAAGAAAAAAAGTATCAATACAGAGCCTATATAATAAATCTTGTACAAATATTTTGAATATTTAATTATTATGAGATATGATAATTATGTGATTAGTTTTACATATTTTATTTGAACTGTAAGCATTAGCAGTTAACAGTTGAAGCTTAGAGTATGTTTCTAGAAAGACTATGTATTGATCTTGTCCTTGTAGTATTTTATAAGGGTATATTAAAAAGCACTCTAGGTTTCTCAAAACCTAAATAATTGGACTTGTATCTTACAAAATAAGAATTGCTTGTTTTGTTATCTTACCGATAGTTAATAAAACAAAGAAGTCTACTGCAGCAAGCAAGCTAGTAAGATAATACAGGATTCTCATTCCAGAGTTGACTTATTTTTTATAATTCAATTGTTTGATTATTGTCGACAGCTTCTATTTTATAGCAGAGAAAAAAATATCAATTGTATGCATAAATAAATAAATGATTAAAACTCATGAATGAGTAAGTGAATAATAAAAAAATTGAATTATTTGTAAGCGATATTTTAAGACATGATCTTTGCAATATAGTGTAAATAATTGACCTAATAAATTAATTTATGAGTGACTTATAAGTATTATTGTAATAATGGAAAGTTGAATATATAAAAAAAAATTAAAATGAAAAAAATATGAATAAATTCTTGATGACGATATCAAAATATTAAGATAAATAAATAAGCAAATGCTTAAATAAATTGCATACCTTGAAGTCTCTACATGTATTCAGTTTAATAATTTCAGTTTCCAGAAAAGTCTTTTTGATCCCTCAGCAGATATCGTCTCTTATGGGATGGCATCCTTAATTGTGGTTCATCAGCAACCTGTATCAAGAAAAAAGTATCAATACAGAGCCTATATAATAAATCTTGTACAAATATTTTGAATATTTAATTATTTTAAGATATGATATGAGTTGATAATTTTGTGATTAGTTTTACATATTTTGTTTGAACTGTAAGCATTAGCAGTTAACATTTGAAGCTTGGAGTATGTTTCTGGAAAAACTATGTATTGAGCTTGTCCTTGTAGTATTTTATAAGTGTGTATTAAAAAGCATGATTATACTCTAGGTTTCTCAAAACCTAAATAATTGGACTTGTATCTTACGAAATAAGAATTTCTTGTTTTGTTATCTTACCGATAGTTAATAAAGCAAAGAAGTCTACTGCAGCAAGCAAGCTAGTAAGATAATACAGGATTTTATTTCCAGAGTTGACTTACAATTACTTGATTATTGTCGACAGCTTCTATTTTATAGCAGAGCTGAAATATAAAAGGTAATACTAAGTTGGATTACTCTTTGTATGTCTATCTGAAATTAAATATTGCATGTATCTTTGACTAATTATTACAGTAATTCTTGTCATGAGAAATAAAATTATTTCAGTGTTTACATGACTTAGACTCAATGCATTTTGCCTAGGAAACTTTAAATCGTAGCAGCCGTCAACAATAATATATACTATGTCTTAAGTAAAAAATCAGGATCAGCACAGAATTTTCTTGTCATCAAGGGTATTATATAAAAATTCAGAGGCTTTTATAATTGAAAGAGGAAACTGCTGTAGAAATGTTAAAATGTATGAATGATAATTATAATACCTAAATATTTTTAATATGTTGAATACATTTCGTTGTGACCGTGACATTCAATTGTAAAAAGTACATTGTTTTCAAAATCATTAAATTAAAATTAATGGATCAGCTTCATTTACTTACAAAATATTTCATATAAAAAGTACTGATTGTATTAGCATTACAGGATCTTTATAAAGAATTTTGGAGAATAATTGAAATACAACAATTTCGAAATAGAATCACATTATTATGGTCGAATCTGATTTATCATAATTATTTTTGTTCATCACGAGCCAGGATAGTTAAAGCAAATAAATGTTGTATTCGCTAGCGATTCAGATAAGATTTCCAATTGATGCGATATAGGCAAATATAGAAAAAATATATACACCACTAAAGCAACTCACTAATGAAATTGAAAGACGACCATCTGCATCAAAGCAATATCAATGGTCCTTCTCTCAATAATTTCTCAAACTGCATGAAAACACTCGATATTCATCTATGATCGTATAAGATTTGACGCGCCATTTTTCTTCTCAAATTGTTACTAACCTCAATCAGAATCTGTCATTATGTAGTGTTGGGTATTTGTAGCACCCTTGGGAAAGATCTTGTAAACACCTGCATAAGCTTCGAATCCACAAATAATTCTCAAGCCCATTACATAAAATGACTAATGGAAAATACTAATATATACTCGGCCATACAACCTTTTACTTACACAGGGTACAATGGCAAAATAAAGCGACTAACATGTGGCAAATGCACGTACGTACCACTTGATTGTCCACTGGCTTCCTATAACTGGAGTGTCTACTGGCTTCCCAAGATCTTCTTCCCGCGATGGCTGAGATTAAAATGGATTGTGCAATGACGCTCTGCGAACAAAGAAACCTTGCGCCATAGATAAGTAAGCATAAATGTATATAATGATGTGCAACTCATAGATAAAAGAAGAGTATGGTGCAACTTCAGAATTGTCGATCAATGAACAGCAGCGTCACAAAAAGCGCCAATTTTAAATTTAAATTTTGACAAACGATGAATATAGGGCTTTATTGGCTATGTGCGAAGGCATGGAAGGGGAAGTCAAATCGACCGAAGCGTTCGTTGTGGCTACTTTGAGCATTAAAGTCGGTCATTATGACAGAAATTTTAAAGAAAAACACATACAATATTTGTTTATTTCAAATTTAAATAAGATAATTAAGAATGAGCCACCAAAGCTGTTGTGTAGTGGGTTGTAGAAATAAGAGCAAAAAAAGTGACTGCAAATTCTATACATTTCCTACAGATAAGTGGAAAGAAAATCAACGGGAAAAGTGGATTCCTGCGGTTAGAAGAATAAAGTAAGTATCATAACGTAAGAAAAATTTTAAGTCAATAAACATGATTGCAAACAATGTAATTAATACAAGGCTGAAATAATGATAAATATATATTTATATATTGTATATTGATTATGTATAACTATTATCTATCTATTAATTACATGTTATTATATAATAAATGTAATTTTATGATTAAAAGAAAAATAAAAGTTATCACATAGCGTAAAATGTTTATTTTACAATCAGTTTAATTAATACAATGCTGAAATAATGCAAAATATATATTTGTAGTGTTGATGGATCACCGTGGGTTCCCAAGCCCTATGATCGCATTTGCAGTGAATCGGACGAAGTATTGAGTCCAACCTACTAGTCAACAATATTTCCTTCAATTTACAAGACTCGAAAAGTTAAAGTCGCTTTTTTTCCTGCAATTTTATTTGATGGGTCTTCTCTTTATAATAATGCCTAAATCATGTCTTTATAATAATGTCTAAGTCTTTAGTTTGAACAAAAATAATAAAAGAATGAGTAAATTAATTTATTATTTACTTATTCTATTGATAAAATATTTTTATCATTATTATATTGTTTTTATCAAGAACTATTCCGAGCTCATGACAT